ATCACCGCTATAAATCTAAATTGTTATAAAACCTGCTAAAAAGAATAGATAAATAAAATTCTACGTGGCTGATAGAGCCACAGAAAGCGCAGTTTAATTTACATATTCCTGGATTCCCCTGCAAACCATAAGAAACAGCGACTCTTAGAAATGAAGATCAACCATAAATTGAAGGCAAATCAACTGCTGCCGATTGCGTGTGTACATTTAGGATTGTGCAGCCTTGTGTTGTAAAATATGACCAAATATGAACACTAAATTGCTCACATTTTAGATTGGTTCATGGACGCATTTTCATACCTGACACAGCTGATTTTTGTTAACTTGCTGTTCATTTATGTGCGCTTGTTGCCGTGCTATTGGTTTCGTTACAGAAAAGGTTGCCTAAGACCATCCCATAAAAAGTTTCACGCCTGAAAAATTTAAATAGCTTTTAGACACATACTCATATTTTCCAGGGATCTCGCGAGTCTACATACAAAGTTTGGCAAATATGGGAATAGTTGTATCCTAAATTAAAGTACGAATTAAGAATATATATTCTTATTCATTCATTCCTTTGGCCTGTTACCTACTTTGCACAAGCCAAATATACCCTTTTTATTGTTCGGGTACAGTTTATAAAAACTGAATTATAGTTCAGTTAATGTCCCATTTTTTAAGTAAATGATTTCATGGACATTTTTGACCCAAAAACAAAAATATTGCTGTGGATGCAATTTCAATATTTTAGTTGCACTTATGTATACAGAATAAAGCTATAAAACTCGTAAAATAGTAGCATCTATAATTTTATTACATTTTTTTCGTTGTTATCCCACTTTACGGTACGAAAGAAAAAAATTATTGCCCACGCTCCGTTTGAGTAAATGGGTGTGAGTGTGTGTGTGTGTGTGTGTTGGGAATTGTGGGTGGAGAGGTGTGTGAGTATTTGGGCAAATGGCAAACAAAGGGTGTGGGATGAACCGACAAAAATGCGATATGCGCATAAAAACGCCAACAGCAGCGGCAGCGGCAACGGTAGCGACAACAACTTCACAAAAAAGTACTGCAATTGCAGCAAGCGTCAAAATTACAACAATAATGCCGACAACAACAACAACAACTTCAGTGAAATGCGAACAAAAATGAAGCAAAAAAAGAGTAAAATCAACCCTTTTTTATTTCGTTGCTGCCACAAATTAAAACAAAATGTCAGAAAAATTGCAACGAAAAAAAATGCCATTAAAAGAGGAGGCAAGAGCGGAGGGGCGGCAGCAACGTTGTTGCACACATAAATGAATCCTCTCACATGCGTGCAACAGCAACAACATGCTGTATGACAAGCCAGCAACTGCCTGCGTCGCTACTAACGTGTTGCTGTTGTTGCTGCAACATCGACGACAGCGGTGGCGGCTGTTGCAGCTGCAAATTGCAATTGAAGTGCACCCAAAAGGTAAACGACACCAATAAAAAAAAACCAAACGACATTGAAATGACATTTTTCATTTTTTTTTTCCTTGCACATTTATTTTTTGTTGTTGGCGCGGTACTGACATGGATGCTGTTAATGTTGTTGTTGTTGTTGTTATTGTCGAGGCAGCAATTTCGCGCTTACTGTCTGCCATTTTTAAATCAATTTTTTTTTTTTTTTTTTGGTAAGGCTTACTGCACAATTATGCAAATTTTTTGAAGCAAAAACAAAAAAACCAGATAAGTTGGGATAAAGTATGAAAATAAAGTGAACACAAATATCTGTGCATATTAATGCATACCCGCTCTGGACCATTTTGGTCAGCAGGCGCCACAAAACCCACACACGCATTCAGCCAGTGGTAGTCATTGCCACCTGCTGGCGCAGTTTTTTTTTACAAGGCTGTCCGGAACTCCAATGCCAACCCCGACCCCCCACATTCTCCACAAATTTTCAGACATTTTCCAGACGAAAAATGTTGCGCGCATAAAAAATGGCAAGAAAAGAAAAAACAAAAATAAAACAACGGGAGGGGGTGGTGGTAAAAAAAAATGGATAAGTTGCCGTCAACTTTGCTTGACTCCCCCACATAGTCCTTAGACCTTCAGCGGCCTCTCTCAGTCGCCGTGTTGGCGAGAAGCTGTGCGTTTCCTGGCCACGTTGCAGTCAGCAGTGCAATGTACTGCATCTCCACTCTCTCTCTCTCTCTCACACACACACTTTTGTGTATCATCTTTACCTACACTTGCTCTCACTCACTCTCTGTCGCACTCTCTGAGGTATTTTGCATGCTATTTGACGTTTTGCTGCCAAAAGGGTCTCGTCCTCGCAACTCATCTCGCATTTCTTTACCACTCGTCGTTCTATAAAGAAAATAAAAATTTCGTACGCCTTTCATTGCTATTGCTGCTGTTTTTGTTGTTTTCGTTGTTGTTGTTATTGTTGTTGCTGTAGCACAAAAGTTGCCTTTTCAAAGCGAGCCACCAAAAGTGCACCCACCCAGCTCCACCCACTCCAAAATAAAGCGCGCGTTGGCATTAAGTGAAAATGTTTTTGAAATTCGTCTAATGAACTTCAAAAACATGTTCGTCGCTCTCCCAACTCCCTGACTGGCGCCCAGAGACAGTCGTCTCTCCATCCATCCGTCCGTCCTCCCGTCAGTCTGTCCGTTCGTCCGCCTCAACAACGTCAACTTCGCTTGTCATCTTTTGTCTCTCTAGCCAAAAAAAAAAACAGAAAAAAATGACAAAACTCCGCTTCCTTTTTCTATATGGCTAGTGCATCCTTGGCAATACTTTTGACGAGTACGCCGACGTTGCCTGCTACAGACATTTAAAAAGCACTCATTGTCAGGCTTCTTGAGAAGTGTGTGTGTGTGAGTGTGCCGAAAAAAAGGTTGACTCTGAACATAATGGAAGGAAGGGAAAATAATATTTTGTCAGCTTTTGTTTGTGCTGTGAAGCGAGATTTGCAATCTCTGTCGAAAATTGCAATTCACCTCGCAGCGATGGAAAAACGAAATGGCGAACTGCCTTCAAGGCTTTTGTAATCATTTTTGGCTACTCAACTGGTCAGTCAATGACTGCTCAGATTATGATGCAATTACCACTCATTATGTTGCAACGATGTGATACGAATATAACAATTTCTCATTTATAAATCGCAGTGAGTCAATGACTCTATCAATTTTAGATTAACAACAGCTGCAATCGTACTGCCCTTATCTTATCAGAATGAATAGAAACAGAATTTTGTCACTACAGGCATATGAAAAATATTGTAAAACAGGATATAGCTAAGCGATTATTACAACCACATTAGTTTAACCCAAAAAAAAACGTTACAACAAAAAACGAGTTAAGAAGCTATCTTCAGCTGCGCCGAGGCTTTAAACTCCCCCTGTGCCACGCAACAAAAGCTGGCTTCCAATTCCAAATATATAAGCCGTATTGTGTTCGTGCTATATAACTTTTATAAAAAAGGATTTTTTATTGGTGGTAAACTTTCGCAAACAAACTACCTGATATGATAAGAACATCAAAATAAAACAATTTGGCTCCAACACATTTTTAGGTAAAAAATGTGTTATATTATAGCTCTTTAAAAGGCATATAATTTCTCTAATACCTATGTAAGTAAATATTTTAGAGATCTGAACTAGTCGAGGTCGGCACTTTTTTGTGGCCTATAAAATGAACTTCGCTCCAAATCTGTGCGAACAGTTTTGATTAGTACAGGCAGCCGATAAGACCTCACGATATGGATTTGTCTCTTCATGCTAAACATACACTTACGTATGTAACTATCATTCTGCCTTTTGGGTATTACAAACTTATATCCCAAAAGCAAAATACATGCCCTATCATTTCATCATTGCGTCCTCCTGTTTGAAAAATAACCACATGATATCGTTGGCTTGTAAACGAAACAAAAGCAAAAAACAAAATCAAAAAGTAGCAATCACATTGCTTCTTCATGGGCTTGTTTGTTTAATAATAACAATTGGTCACAAGTCTTTGCCATAAAATGCATCACATTGCCAAACGTATGAAGATAATATATAGTAGAGTTTTTTCAAGTACCTTACCGCTATCTACTCATAGGGGAACCCTAATATCTTCTGGTCTATAGAAAAACACCAGCATGACAGTTTTTATTATGTTGTTGAGCTGTTTGTTTAATTCACAATTAAATATTTTATCTATCTGCTAAAATATTACTTCGCTATACTTTTTATGAAATAAATACCAAAAATATTTGCTATATGGAATATTGCTATATAATATATACATATGTATAGTATAAAAATAAAATAAAACTTGTAATTTATTCTTATCAATATGAGGAGGGTAGAAGACTTTAACTGAAACTATTGAAAATATTTTTATGTTAATACGGACAAACATAATTCTTTGTTTTGCTCACTTTTATTTTTAACATATAAATAACATATTTTTCCTAGATAATCATTTTGTTTAATTTTTTAATTATATTTTCTTAAGTTTTATTTACTTTTTGTAACTATTGATATTATTATTAAGTTTAAGCACTAATTTATTTTTTGTAAATATATTAAACGATTCAGTTGTTATACATGAAACGTAGTGTCCTAATAAATTATTTCGCACAGCTTATGCCGCAAAGACTTTTGCCGCTTATTTCGTTGTGGATTGATCAACCCGACTTCGATTGTTTCGTATTAATACAGGTACCTTGTGGATGCTCTAATAAAGAATTTTGAACTTGAATTAATGAATGCTCTCATCACAAACATACCACTAAGAAGCACGTCAGATCCAAAACTAGATACAGCTGAAATAATTTCAATGAAATATTAACTAATATACTCTATCTTACGAGTTAAGATGATATTTTCGAATATTTAGTTTAATGGCGTGGGACAGTCCCCATTTCCGTCTATCGGTCTACGGATGGGTGCTGCTTCAAAAATGTTTGGAATTATTTTTAATAGGGAAATTAGTTCTTTATAAAGTTACCTTTGAATGCATCGCATTAATTAAGTTATTCAATTTTCCGTCTTTTTCAGAACGATATCTGAGTGTGCGACGCCCACACCACGTCGCAGCTACAGCGAGGAGGATCTGAAGAGCGCCTTGCACGACATATTGGCGAATAAGGTGGGCACGCGAAAGGCAGCCAGCCAGTACAATGTGCCGCGCTCTACACTGCGCAACAAGCTCTACAAGATGACGCTGGAGGCGAAGCGCAACAATGCGCCGACGCCGCCTGAGCTTCAACAACTGCAGCACGAGCTGGAGCAGGAGGAGTCGGGTGATGAATACGGCGGCCCCATGGGCAGTGGCTTGGGACTGGGTATGGGGCGCGGTGATGACAGCAATCAAGGCAGTGATATGGGTGAGGAATTGGAGCATGGAGGCTCACCCAAATTGTCCGGAGCATTGCGCGCACAAAACCTCACGCCTACAGGTAATGTTCCAGCTGTTGGTAGTAGTGGTGGTGCCATGCCGCCCATGCCCATCGATCCAAATGTGCTGCTACACACGCTCATGGTGGCCGCAGGCATCGGAGTCATGCCAAAGCTGGACGAGACGCAGACACTGGGTGACCTTGTAAAGACACTAATGATTGCCAGCAGGGGCAGCATCATTAGTGAGGTCTTTGCCAGTGCGGCAGCTGTAGCGGAAAGCAATGTGGCGACTGCCCTACAAAATGGCGCACCACCTGGCCTGCTCGATCAGCATCTGTTGCTGCAGCAAATCCAACAGCAACAGTCTCAGTCCCATCACCACCAGCCGCTGCAACAACAACAGCAACAACACCTGATTGGCGGCCTGCCGTATCGGCATCGTTTACCAAAGTCTGACACACCGGAGACAACCTCGTCCCTGGACACGAACGAGGCGTGTGATGATCCTATACTGAAGATTCCGTCCTTCAAATTAACAGGCGCGTCTAGTGTGTCGCCCTCGCTGCTAGCCAGCAGCAGCAGCAATAACAACACCTCCAACTGCAGCAATAACCGCAATGGTGGCGATCAGAGTCCCCACTCCGCTTCACCGATGCTGGCAGCTGCAGTCGTGGCTGCGGCCAACAACAACTATCGCCAAAGCGGCAGTGTGCTCTCACCCTCGCCGGTGTCCATACAGAAGATGATGGCCAACACCATACAGCGTAAGATCAACGAGCAGACCACCCAGGATGCGGCGGCGGCTGCTGCAGCCAATATCTTGGGTCTGGGCGTCGCCGATGGCAAGCGCAACAATGGCAATACCAGCGGCAGTGAGTGTAGTAGCAGCGGTGGTGCTGCCGGAGGCGGTGGTTCCGGTGTTACAAGCAGCGGTAGCTACAAGAAGCCCAGTATATCCGTAGCCAAGTTCATTGGGGACACGGATACCTCTCGCTTTGGAGCCTCACCCAATCTGCTGGCCCAACAGCACCATGGACACCTGCCCTCACACCACGCGCATCAGCTCAGTGCTCAGGATGCCGCCGCCCTGGCCGCGGGCAAGGGCACGCGTCCAAAACGCGGCAAATATCGCAATTATGATCGCGATAGTCTTGTGGAGGCGGTTAAGGCAGTGCAGCGTGGCGAGATGTCTGTGCATCGTGCCGGCAGCTACTACGGTGTGCCGCACTCCACACTGGAGTACAAGGTAAAGGAGCGCCATCTAATGCGACCCAGAAAGCGTGAACCAAAGCCGCAGCCAGATCTGGTGGGACTAACAGGCGCCGCCAATAAACACAATCCAAACATTCCAGGTAAGCAAGCGTTCGTCTGGGAAATTGGTCTATTTTTTCAAGTGAGGCATCAATTCTGATATTAAAATTTGATAGTTGCTTTAATTCCGGATTGCCAATCAATTAATCAATGGCAGCTTAATTAAATCATTTATTATACTTTTTTGCATTGGAAGAGAGAGTCTGATAAATAGATAGGTTTTTTAAAAATAAACCATCAGTTTTATTTGGTATTTCTTTGGTTAAATAATAGTTTCCCCTCACGTAATATCTGTGATGATGCGGTATTAAGACTTTTAACAAATTACGGAAAATTAGATTGCTCGACAAGTTGGCTTATTTTGATGATTCCATTAACCAAATTATTTATTAAAAAAAAGTCGGCTTCTTAAACCATTAATGGTTATGGACTCGTAAAATATTTTGGTTTTCTTCTGTATTATTAGACTTCTTTGAACTCCCACCCGTTGCTTTTAGCTAAAATAATTTAGATTGTATTGAAACTATAAATATATATACATATTTATAATTTATTTGCTTCCAATAGACAACTGTTCGTTGATGACCAACTCTCAATTTCAGGTCTCAATCACCTCGACAAGCTAAAGGCGAGCAACAACAGTGCCGGCTCAAAGCTGAGCAATGCGCTCAAGAATAATAGTCAGGCCGCAGCAGCAGCGGCGGCTGCAGCGGCAGCAGCTGCAGCAGCCAACACGCCCAATGGCATGAAGTTGCCAATCTTTGATGCCACCGCACAGTTGCCCTTTCAGGCAAATATGTTTTGGCAGCAGCCAGGCAACGCCAACTATGGACTGGACTTCAATCGTAATCCAGAGTTTCTCAAAACGCATCTAGCCGAGGCCATACGTCTGAATGCCGGCGCCAACAACAATGCCAATAGCAGCAGCGACAGCCCGCTCGGAGGCATCAGTCAGAACCATCATCACGGTGTGCCGCCGATGAAGAGTGCCCTGGACTTTACCGAAAACATGTACGACGGCATCATACGCAAGACGCTTAAGAACAGCGATGGCAGCAACATGGGTGGCAATGGCAACGCCTTGCTGGACCAGCTGCTGGTAAAGAAGACGCCATTGCCCTTCACCAACAATCGCAGCAATGACTACTCGGCGGCCTGCTCTAGCTCCGAAGCGGGTGGCAAGCGGGCGGGCAGTCCGCTGGCAGCCTATGCGGACATTAAGCGCGAGCGTCTCAGCCCGGAACGTTGTGCGGACAGCACCAGCAGCGATGAGGAGCATCCCAGCAGCAACAATAACAATAACAACAACAACAACAGCGAGTCGGCGCACAACAAGAACCAGAGTAGCCACAACAAGTGCAACAACGGCAGCAGCAACAGCACCACCAGCAACAACGGCCGCAGTCGCATGACATCTCGTGACTCAGAAACGGATGCCAGCAGCTTGAAGAGCGAACATTCCACACACAGCTCTGCCCCCCATGCGCACGCGAACAACAACAAAATGATGGATCTCAATGGCACCGCGAAGCGCGAGGCGCAGTACGCGGCGCCAGATGCCATGCCCAACTCATCGATTCTGCAAGAGAAGTTGGCGCAGATTAAGGCCGAGCTGGCGGAGTGTGCTGCCTCCGAGGAGCCCTTATAGAGCAGGTTGCAATTGCAAGGCTGGCAGCAGCAGCAGCAGCAAGGGCAGCAGCACCACCACCACCAGCAACAACAACAACAATTGACGCCAGCTTTTGCTTGGCCACCGCTGGCTGCCCATTATTACAGCTTCTAGACACACACATACACACAAGCGAAGCCGCACACTCACACACATACTATAGTACAGGCAGATAGGTGAGCAGTGTATGCATTAGTTTTATTGTACAGTGGTTTTTAGGCATTTTAAGTTTAGGTGTATTGTGTACGTATTTGTAAGTGCAGAGGTGTAGGTGTTGATGTATGTGTAGGTGTATGTGTATGCGTCTGTATGGATGGCCAAGCGATGGCCGAAGCTCCACCAATAGACAACCAAAATCAATTCAAGCCGCTTAAGCGAAATGTGTTAGGCAGCAAATTGCAAATTAAACTGGCAAGCGACTTGGCTCTTAGTTGAGCTAAAACAATTTACATTATCTATATGTATATACATATAGTATATGTGTATATACAGTTATGTAAAACAACAACTACAACTTTATATACATATATATACAGATAGAGAGAGAGAGAGAGAGAGAGAGAGAGAGAGAGAGAGAGAGAGAGAAACACACTCAAGAAACGTTCATACAATATACATACAAGTGCATTGCAATATGTATATTTTTTGTTCAGTTTTTTTTTACAATCGACAAATAGGCATTCTCTTGTACAAACAAACAAACATTCGAAATAATACAACTATGTAAAACAAATCCAAGCTAAAACCCCTTAAACCAAAACTGAGCAACTAAGCACAGACAGTGGATAGCCAATAAGCGAGAGTAAGAGAAAGGGCGCGAGAGAGATTTCATTTGAATGTAAAAGCTAACTTTTCATTTTTCTAAAAACAAAAACAAAGAACGATAACTACTTAAAATTAAAACATACACAATTTTATATTTTTTTATTCAACTAAAACATATATGAAGAAATAGCAACATAAAGCAGTTACACTGAACAACCAAACTAAGCGGCGTTTGGGCAGACATTGCAAAAAAAAACTTCAAATTTTCAAAGCATTCCAAAGGTGTTCCAACTCTTTCTCATTCAAAAACTTGCCAATTTGCAATGTGGCCACAATGCGCACGCATCAACAACAACAACAACAGCAATTCAACTACAAACAGAGAACATAATGTCAACAACAGCAACAACAACTACAATATCCGATCAATAACAACTACAACAAACTGAACAACCAGCAAGCAATAATAACAGAATTAATAATAACACAAATACCAATCCCAACCAAAAAAAATAGCAAACTAAATTCAAAAACTACGCATAAATTCACACAAAATTTGTAAGCAAGTTTTTAATTTCTTTATTTCTTACCAAAGTTCTTAAAGTTATTTAATGATTTTTTGTTTTTAGTCAAAAAACAAAGAACTAGAAACCCCCTCAAACAAAAGAGAAAACCTTTAAAATCAACAAGCATACAAAAACGGAAATCAATAAACAAAGCTGCCTTTACACATTTACAAATAAAATAAATTAGTAAGAAGAAAATAAGTGGGAAACGTTAGGACAAGCACACAAAATAATAATTCAATGAACCGGAAGAAAAAATAGCATACTCCAAAAAATAGAAAGAAAAAAAACAAAAAATTAAAAATGAAAAACACACCCCCCGACAAATGATATCATTTTATTAAGTTCTTCAACAAAATTCATTCTCTTAAATCAAAAATTGCAAATAAAACTCCCAATATATGTAACAAGCAAAATTATATGAATACATACATAGTATATGGCAACAAAAACCAAAATATAATACAAAATTTCAGTGTTTCGGTGTTTACATAATCAAAATTATATATGTGCATATGTCTAGGCTATAAAAACAAAATTAAGCATGAAATTAAACAAATTTTCGGCAAAATGTTTAAATTAAGAAAAACACAACTTGGGATGTGCAGAAAATGTTGTAAGGGACTGGACTGTTTCACATTTCTACAGGAAATATATTACTCGTAATATACCAAAAACATTTGTAAGCATACAAATTATAATTATATAAAATTCTAATCTAAAAAATGCTCCATTTATGCCATAAATATGTTCATTTTTAAAATACTTTTAGATTCAAAATTCTCCTCTTGTACATGTAGAATTTGGACTTAAGCTCAAATTATATATGATATTACGAGTGGATTTAGGATTGGCTCCCTTGTCGCTCTGCAACATTTGAAGCACATACCCAAAGAACATATTTAACTGTAATATGCTATACAAAGTCTCTATATATATATATTTATGTATGTGTGTGTCTTTATCACTACGCGTATACCTCAAAACAACAAAACACATGATCATTTTGAGCAAACTATATTTAAATGTACTTATACACTCTATACACGATTTACAAAAACGAAAGAGAAACAAAAAACAAAACAAAAATCAAAAGACATATTTACACAGTAAAATTAAAATGAGACCTCCCCCCCTTCCCTATCAGGTATACACGTGCAACACCTTTTGGAACAACCCGAACTCACTTTCACCCCCACGATACATAAGTCTTGTGTTTTTTCTGAAACGTTTCGAAATTATCTATGGATCTGTCTATGGAACATAAATGTATGCGTAAATAAAACCAGAAAAAAATATATATACACATATATATTAAACGTACCTAAAACATATTTTGTGTGCTAGTTAGTAAGTGTCAAAAGAAAATAAAAATTATATATACAATATATTTTAAAACACACACACACGCAAATGAAACCAAGAAGAAAATCAAATGAAAATGAAAGAAAAATGTTGGGTCAAGTCGGTAATATGTCAAGATGTTTAGTGAATTATAATTAAATAACAAATCAAGAACTATATACAAAAATCATTTAAGAGCATTTAGAAATTAAAGAAGATTTAAATTATAATTTAAACAAGGCAACAAATTATAAGCATATTTATTGGCTACACTCCAAATTACATTCAATGTGCATAGTGCATAATGCAAGTAAATGTTGTGGTTTAGGCAAAACTAAAAAAAAACTAAAGAACTAAAATTAAACAATTTCCTTAAGGCATACATACGAAATTTTATAAATATTTGGTATATTGGAAAAGAAAAACAAGCATTCTTTAGCAATTAAAACCAATCTAAAATTTAAAAGAACACACACACATTTGGAAATTTCATAAAGCCACAGTATGGGAATCTAAAAAAAAAAACAAACAACAAATGTTTATAACATTACAAAACAGACAAAAAACATAGTATTTATTATTGCTAATTTTATTATATTTGAAGTATACATATAAATATTTATAATATATAAATATATATACAAGTATATATATATTAGACACACTATCTGTGATTAATAATCCAAAATTTTGATGAACATTTTCTGAACGATGTTGGTTAGGCATACCTACATACATATTTCATACATATGTTAAAGAAGAAGAATGAATGAAAATTCAACAATTATAATACTGAGTCATATATAAAAAGCTATAACAAACTTGTAGGTCGATCGGATAAGAACAACTTAATAACGCAGAACGATACCTATTGCATAGGGAAGAAAGAAAGAACAAATTGTTAACTGCAGCGGAAATTGGGTGCATTCTTCACAGTACTGATTGATCACTTAGAATTATTCCACAACAACAACATCATTAGTGTGAAACAGTTCTGCAGAGTCGCTTAGCATTTATCGATAACAAAAGTGAACAGAATACTTATATATTACATCTGGCCATTGATGAAAGCGCTCTGTTAAATGTGCCCTCGATAACACAAAACTGAACGTCTATATATTGGACAAGGCATAATACATATATAACACATACATACATATATGTACTGTAAAGCCTGATTATGAAAATCACTTATTATTATAAGCGGTCAATACATACATACATAGTTACGGTTACGCAAGAGCTACGGCACATCACTAAACAGAAGAAAAAAATAGTTCAGAGCATATATAGTTGTATATATATTTTGGAATAATTTTTACTCAAAGGGCAAAAAAATACATACCGAAAACCCAGTTTATAAAACAAAATTAAAAAATGGACAAAAACAGACAGCTTTGCATATTAAAAAAATAAATTAATTAAAAAATAATTATGAAACAAAATTATACAACAAGGAAGACACAACAAATAATATGCATACGCATACAATTTATTTTGTTTATAAATTAAAACGTCAAACACATGCATGCATATGCAGATGATCTATGTATGTATAGGGGAAAACTGAAATCAAACTAAAAATAATATGAAAAAATTAAAGTGCAATTATACAGTTTATACATAAATTAAGGGAACTAATGTTATAACAAATATGAAACATTTAAAACTTATTAAAAACGGCATAATTCCAAAAAAGGTAAAATAAAAACATAAATTAGCTAAATTACAAGGCAAACAACAACAACAACAACTTTTGAGATGTTAAACAAAATTAAAACAAACAAAAAAAACCCACAGACATGTCAGCCTGGACAATACATTTAAAGGGTACGTTCGCGCAGGCAACTAGATTCCATTAAACTATCTCACAGAATTCCATTTATCTGTAGCTTTCTAAAAATTATAGTTCCGTTTGAAATTCTAAATGAAATTTATGTAGCCTTGGGAAAATTATTTGGATTATTACCAAGGCCGGGTTTATGGAACAAGTTGCCCAATGTGTGTCGACCTGAAGCACGCTGTTATGTGTCCGCGGTTTTGAGAGCTACAACCACTAATGTGTAGTAGCCTCAATGCACAGGATGCTAACAGAGACCAATCGAAAAACCAATACAATACACAATAAACCAACAACAACAAACCAGCAAAACCAAGCCAAAAGCAAGGGTCGTTAATGTACAAAATGGCAACCTTGTGGTTAGGAGGTGATTAAGACAAACACATAAACAATTGAGTGTAATGAGAGTAACAGCTTGAGAAAGTTAAATTGTATAGAATTTTTGCATGCTCAACAAAATGTGACAGTGGATGGGTAGATAGTAGTGTAGTAGGATAGGCAGGTATAGGGGCCGGGTCAGGGGCAGGGCCAGGGACAGGGACAGGGATAGAGACAGGGATGGGGGCAGCTGTTGTGCGGGCTGCCCTTTGGGAGCATGCGAAAACGCTCAGGTACGTGTTTTATTTTTCGGAGAGAAAAAAGATTGATTACCCATACATTACTTATTCTTTGTTTACTACAAAATACTAGTTAATATTTGAAAAAAAAAAAAACAGAAAATAAACATTAATTATTTGTTTAAAGAAACACACACACACACATACACACCTTTTTAGCGTGCTTAATAAATGAATTGCTCACATTTGTGTATAAAACAAACGAGTACGAGTATATGTATATGATTTGTTGAATACCAATCAAAATTTGCTGAATTTAAGTGCATATATGAGTATATATATTAAAGGTTTATTTTCTCTATTATTTATGTAAAATAGTGCATATATATATTATGCAAATAGGCAAATCAAAATTTACTTATACAAATATATATGTATGTATACTTTATTATTATTATCATTATTATT